CCTGTTTTCTAACTTGCTTATCTATGTGTCTCGTTCTTATCTTTTTCTTATTTGTCTTCACTTTATATCTCCTACTTTTTGTCAGTTATTTACCATTTTTCTGCCTCATTTTTCTCATTTTCTTTGCCATCTTAATCATCCTTCCCTTTTTAAAAATCGTTTTTGTTTTTATCTTCCCACTTGTCCCACCCTTTATCATTTCACCTTGCACACTTCCTCTTTCTCTTCATAACTGTAACCTGACAGGTACAGTGCAGATCTTTTTCTCAGTGCTAATAAGTTACAGAGGCACAACTAAAACTGCTGGATTTGGACAAGCATTGAATGTTCTTTATTTCTCCTCACTTTTCCCTCTTTCCCTTTTTTGTAATTAGTTTTCATGACTTTCTTATTTTTAATTTCTATTTCTTTCTTGCTACAGTTGTTTGATTTCAAACTGCTCTTATTTCTTCTTCCAGGCTACAACTGTGTCATTTCCATTGTTCAAATCTTGGTTTTCTTTCTCTAGACTGCTCTCATTTTCTAATTTCTTTTTGTGCTCAGCCTCCATCTATCTTCCACTTTCTCCCTTTCTTTCCCTCTACCTGTTTTTTCTTCCTCTGAATCTTTTTTCTTTCTCTTGTGTTATTCTAGCCCTCTTTTTGTCTTTAGTATCTTTATTTTTTCTCTTCTTCTGTCCTCCACTTTCTTTTCTTTCCCACTGTCATCCACTCCCCATCTTTTCTCTACTCCAATATCTTCTTCATCTCCCCTCCTCTCCTCTCCTCTCCTCTCCTCTCCTTCTCATGCTTTGCGGTTAAAGCCACCAGGGGAAGTTCCACTAACACATCCTTACACATTCACATACACACATTCAAAGAGTCTGACTCCCAGCACTCTAATGGCCCCATTTAGACAATGTGTCGCATCAGCAAGTCGTATGGCTGAATAATGAGAAGAGGAGGAGGAGGAGGAGGAGGAGGAGGAGAAGGAGGACAAAAGAAGATGATTCGTTTTCCACATCACTCCATCCAGGCAGCTGCTTCACCGTAAATGTTGTTCTGTTACACACACCATCAACGCTGTGACCCTGCGAGTGTGCGTGTGTGTGTGTCCATTCATCCGCACTACATGCTGGGCTGTATGGTCGTTGAGAAAAAATATGGCCTCCGGGGATTTTGCTGAAGCTCCTGTGTTATGTTTATGATGCGGCGAGAGAGAGAGAGAGAGAGAGAGAGAGAGAGAGAGTAATAATATACATTCATTATATCTCTCACCCTCAAAGAAACTATTCCTTGCTCTGTCTCTCTCATGTATTACCCAAAGATGAAACTCACACTTTCTCTTTATCAAGTGAAATACACACACACACACAAGACTGAGAAATCTGATTCTCAGTCTCCCAAACAATAAAGAGTTATCTTATCTTATCTTATCTTACTCCCTTTTAAACTCCACACACACTCCAAGCAGAGGTCTGACAGACAGAAAGTGCAGCTGTAGCTTTTTTTTTGTTTTTTTTTAAAGTCATTGCCACCTTGTGTTTTTCACCACCAGCTGTTCAGGAGCTGATTGGGATTTATGAGCTACATTAACATTTTATATCTTATTTTATAATGTTTGTATTTTCTGGAGACGTAAAGATTTTTGCAGAGTCGGTTGTTTCCTTTGTGCGACACTGTCTCTGGTACTTGTGATGAATAACATAAAGTTCGTTTTTGGTGACTTACACTGACAATTTGCTTCCTTACTGGTATGTTGAAGGGCCATATGGCTGCTTTCGCATAGCCCATCAACTGCAAACTGCATATGCTTTACATTATTCATGTCTACTTTCCAATGTGTTGTAAAAGTTTTAAAGTTTGCTTCCAGAACATTTTTTTCGCCCTCATTTTACTGTAAAACTGTTGTTTTGTGGTACTGCTTCTCTAGTCATTAAAAAGAAGAACATTTCCGTGCAAGAAATGCCTAAATTTTCTGTGTTATATTCACAGATTTGTTCCATGCTCTTTCTATGTCGCTCTGGGAGTTGGGGGGGTATTTTCCAACCACCAAAATCATGAATGCAGAACAGTTCAGCAGCCAGCCATCAATTCTCAGATGTCAAAATGAATTGAATGCATGTTCATTACCACTTAGTAGTAAGTGACAAAAAAACTACAGGCAAGATGGATTACCTACTGTATCTCAAGTAGCTTTTTTTTTTTTAAGTCTCTGCATATGATTTTCATACATTACTGATATGAGCTGATGCCAGTGTTTTTGAAGGTTAGAAAACTTGCATCAGTCTTGCATGGTGTACCAGAATTACAAAGTAATGGTGTACCAGACGATTTTTTTGTTTCATTTTTGTTTTCCCTTTGCTCTTAAAGCCCTCAAAACCCACAAGAGCATCAAACATTGTTTATTTGCATATTTTATGGTAAACGTGCGAAAAACTAAAACATCTGTGAGCTGAATTGAAGAGTCACAATGTTAAAGTGTTTAAATGATTTTGGACGGGTTATAGTTGTAGCATCATAAACACCCGCCTCTCCTTTGACCAAAATGATCTTAAACACAAAGAGACAAATAATATTCTGTATCTCCAGCACACGTTGTGATTTTACTCCTAAACATATCTGTTGGAGCTAATTTGAAAGTCGTCATGTTTTGCCTGCGTTGGACATAGAGCAGTGAATTTAGCTCATTTTTACGCCAGTCTGATGCTAATTTATTTTGGTGTAAGTTAGAAGACTGAGAATAGTCCCTGTAAGCACCAGTAACGATCACTAGGCTTTCAGTCCCACAGGTCTAGAGACCAGTTGATGACCCCCTGATGACCTCCAATTGCTATGGAAAAAATGTATAATCCCCAACTAGCTGGCAAGTGGTTGCTGGAAAGAGTGTACTGCACCAAACTCATAATGTACTCTCTGAGCGTTAGTGATACTTTCACTACTAATTACCAATTTGTGAGGCAAACCAGAAACTAGGAACGCTCCCCTTCAAAGTAAGTTGTGCCTTAGAATAGAATAGAATAAAATAGAATAGAAAGGCAGCACGGTGGCATGGTGGTTAGCACTGTTGCCGCACAGCAAGAAGGTCCTGAGTTCAATTCCACCATCAGGCCGGGGTCTTTCTGTGTGGAGTTTGCATGTTCTCCCCGTGTTTGCGTGGGTTCTCTCCGGGTACTCCGGCTTCCTCCCACCGTCCAAAGACATGCACTTAGTGGGGATAGGTTAATTAGATAATCCAAATTGCCACTATGTGTGAATGAAAGTGAGTGCGAATGGTTGTCTGTCCCATGTGTTAGCCCTGCGACAGACTGGCAACCTGTCCAGGGTGTACCCCGCCTTTCGCCCTATGACAGCTGGGATAGGCTCCAGCGCCCCCCGCGACCCTGAAAAGGATAAGCGGATGGATGGAATAGAATTCAACTTTATTGTCATGTCACAAGTACAAGGCAACGAAATGCCCTATTGCTTATTGAATGCAAACAGTTTGTTTCTAGTTTGTCACAGTTTGCAGTGTTTGCCGCTCTGCACACCTCTGCACTGCATACCTGTGACCTTCCAGTAACCACTTGCCAACTGGTCGGGGAATGTACATTTTTCCCTCGTGGCCGGTGGTTGCCTCACGGTTGCTGACAGGTGTCTTGGCCTGTGTGACTGGGGCCTCTCTTTTTCATGCAATACTGCATTGACACATTTAATTGATCATCATGCTGGATGACTGACTTGATGACTAATTGCCTCATTGATCTGTTGACTGGCTAACAAGCTACATCCAAACTGGGCTTTTCACAATGCTGGCAGCAGTGCAACAATGCAATAACATGCATGTGTGAAAAGCTGTTATTTAGAGGTTTATTTGGCTGATTTGTGCCCTTAAATGTCTGTAACAAGAAGAGGAAAAGTGGTGCGCCCCTTTTCCATGTTTGTTTGTTTGGATAGTTCAGATTTAGAGCATCACATAATGAAGAATTACAACTTCAAAGTACAAACCAAACAAGCTGCCGAGAGACAAAAATGCAGCGTTTAGTCACAAAATAAGCAGGCAGCAAAGAGGATGAAAAACTGAAGCACGGCCTTCATCTTGTTAAATACCAAAAAGCAGGAACTGAAAAGCTCTCTGAATCTCCCTTAAATAAAATGACCCCTAAAAGCTCTTCAGATGCTTTTAAAAAGCCCTCTGCTGTGAGCAGCAAAGAACATGTGTGAATAAATCCAACGTTCACTAGTTCAAATGTTCTGATGACTGATAAAATAGAAAAAGATAACTGTGAACCTGATGCTTTTTTTTTTTTAAGATTACATCACGTTGTTTCTTTTCTTATATGTCAAAGATGATTTTGAACACATGGTAGATCTTTTCATTGTGTTGACTGCCTCATGCATTTGCCCACTGCAAGCTAACTCGTTTCTACTGCACCATTGTTCAGGAACCAGAAATTGCCATTTTAATCACATGTGTCCGCTAATTAACATGTCAGACTAATACAATGCTGGACTCTCATTCACCAAAACTGAAGCACAGACTTGTTGGAAGGGCTGTACCACACGGCAACCATATTTATCACTAGCACACAGCTAGCAGCTACGCGTGTCAGTCGAAACACTCACTATTAAGCCTGAGGAAAATCCAACATGAGTGAGTTAAAAAACAAAGTTTAGTCCTAATGCAGTTATTAAAAAAGGAGTGATGGGCTCTAAAGACAAGACACATTTTTATGCCACATTAAAACACATTTTTTTCATGGTCTAAGTTGGATGTTTTAGCACGGGCACCTCAGGGGAATGACTCCCTTTTGCAGCCTGTCTCAAGTGACCGTTTGGCACTTCTTGTTGGCTTCATTTTCAGCACCTAGGCTGATATAACTGAAATAAAACAGAGCAAACTGATTTATTTAATATTTTGATTTAACAAACAGAAACTGCATCTTCTGTCTTCTGTTATACCGCATCAAATTTGATGAGAGTGCATTTCTCTTTTACATGTGATCATTAGTTCTCTTTTTAACAGCTTTGACTGATTTCCAGATTTCAGATGCAGAGTGGGAGGACATGTTGGAGGGCTTTGATGAGCGGAGTTACCTGAGCGCTCGGCGCTGGAAGCCCGGAGACGACCCGTACACTCTGTACGCTTTCAACCAGAGAGAGAGTGAACGCATCCCCAGTGATCGAGCCCTGAGAGACACTCGACACTACAGGTACAAAACCACAGAGTGCAGTATATAAAACGAACATGCACAAGTATAAATGACAACACACAGAGAAGTCTGACACAATACAACGTGTGTTGTGTTAAAGACGACAGACGAGCTTGAGAAAGTGCAGATTCTTTGTAGCAAAATGTTTCTGCAGCACCTGAAAGACAAACCTCTGGAGGAATCTATTTATTACAGGCAGACTCTACAGAGTTATGTATAAATCTATCACAAGTTTGCATCCCTGCATAAAAGGAGAGCTTATCACACAAAACAAACTCATGTTGCCTGCAGGCATAAACAAACACATCAACAAACACACAACAACACCACAGATCAGCTTTTAGTATTACAGGTATGTGTGCGCACATAAGCGCACGCACCGAATTAAAGCAGCAACTCCTGGAGTTCGTAATGAATCCCCTATCTGTACTAAAACAAATTTAGATTATGGAACCAACACGTTTTCATAGAGAAACCACCAAATTACAATCCGCCTGTCCGCTAAGAAATTAAATTAAACCAAAATAGAAATCCTCTTAGCAGAGCGCCGTCTTCCTCTGTTGGAAAGACGCTCAGCAGGAAGATAAGGAGCTTGCCGCATTGACAGCAGCTCCCTACTTGTATATTTCAGGAGATAAAAACTTCCAGGCACTTGTAGAAGGCGTTCAGAGGTCCAGTGTTGTTGGTTGAGATCGTGTGGGATACACAAACACGGCTTTTTTGCTGAGATTCTGTTTCTATTAGGCTTTCAACAACAAAGCCACGTCTTTGCATTGATATATAATTTTTTTCTTTTTACAATTTTTTTTTTGAGTTTTGTTTCCTGGGTTTTTCTCACCCGGCCATAATTGATGTGCCTAGAAAGTCTGGGAGCAAAGTTTATCCACCCGACGTAGTTTCTAATGATTAACCCACACACTGGGTGGTCTGTTTGCTCCTTGATTTCAAAGCAGAACCAGCATTGCATCTAGTTTGCAAACTTTCTCTCGTGCTAAAAAAATAGTGCAAAATCTCTTTCTGACTGACGGAAATAACATTAAGCGAAGAAAAAAAAGCCATGCCAATGTTGAATCTGTCTTCATTTTAGATCAAAACAGTAAGTACCAAACTGCAGTACCAAAAGTTTTTCAGGAGTCTCTAAGCGGCAGTGAGATGCACTGGATCCACCTGAGTTGTGCAATATATCTTAGATCTTTAATTAAATCAGGGAATAACAGAAGCTGTGGGAACATAAAATGAAAAATGGAGTGAAAAGGATTTTTTTAACAGTTTATATATAGATTTATAGGTTTTTGCTATGCCCCCCCCCCCCCCCTCTTTTTCCTAATTGACCTCAGTGACATGGAACTCTAATTATTGCTCCAGACCACATGGTCCCATAAATTAGACAGCATATCAGCTTCTTAGGTCCTTCTGTAAAATCAAGCCTTAGAAATCTCGGTGTCGTATTTGACAGCTCGATGTCGCTCGAGCAGCATTCTAAGCAGCTGGTCCGAAACTGTTTTTATCATTTACGGAATATTTCTAAACCCAGACTTTAGGGCCCTGCATGGTCAGGCTCCTCAATATTTATCTGACCTGCTGAAACCACATACATCTTCTCGGGCTTTAAGGTCATTAGATCAGAGACTGCTGGTGGTACCGCGCACTCGTTTTAAAACTCGTGGTGATCGGGCCTTTCAGACTGTGGCACCATGGTTGTGGAATTCTCTCCCACTGTCTCTTCGCTGCACGGACTCCATTGATTCTTTTAAGAAACAGCTGAAGACATTTGTATTTAGAAAAGCATTTGATTAATTTCTTCTTATGCTGTTTTATAGTTTTATTGTTTTACATTGTTTTATTTACTGTTATATTGTTTTTATATTCCCATTTCCTGTGTTGTAAAGCACTTTGTGATTTTTATCTGTGAAAAGCGCTATATAACTAAATTTTACTTCCTTCAAACATCGGGGAAAACTTACTTGATAATGGATAATGGATTTGAGTGTAGCTTTAGGTCATGCCCTTCTATGCATCCAGTTGACAAATGTTCAACATGCTACTTTCTTCAGACATTCGTTATGCTGTTTAAGCTCCTTCAGCTTGCTTAAAGTGTGTCTACAAGCTGCTTTGCAACCCATCTTCATCCCAGTTCTGTTCTCTTTGAGGGTTTTGGTGCTGCTCATGGAGGGGCGTTGATGTCCCATACCACAAAACATGATTACAGATCGCAATCCTTTTCATTTTTTTCATGATTTTTTTTACTAGTATATGTATAGTATATTACTTCATAGTATATGAAGTACATGTCCAGCTTGAACATCTGTTGTCCTGTTTTGCACATGTGTATGTGAGCCAGTGTTTGCTGTGTGATTAACCTCCTAAGACCCGAACTCTTCCACAGCATGCATTTTTAATTTCTCTTTGATATTTGGGCATATTGGGGCGCGATGAATGTAAAAACAAAGAATTTTTTACCTTATTTTTGTTTTTAAGAAAAATGAGAGCCACATATGAGGATATTCGTTTAAAATTTTGATAGAACAGTAGCAGTATAATGTCCTTGTAAGTGGATATCAGGCCCTTGTAGAGCAAAATTAAGTAGTTTGGTCTAAATTACCCAAAATGTGATGTCCACATATGTGGACCCCAGGTCCTAGGAGGTTAAAGGTTACAAGGCAGCTCATGGTGACCCAGCTCCCTAAGAGGAAGCTGCATGTGGGTGTTTGTTGGGTGACTGTTGGTTTTGGCAGTCGTGCTGAACATGGTCATGTCCTGATTGGTTGCTGCTGCTGTGGCTGATGGTGATGAGCACAGCAGGTTACAACTTCACAGACTATAATCTGTTAGCGTAGCCGGCATGTACATCACTGTGTGCGGATGTGTTTTGACGTGTGATGAGGAGATTGATGTCTGACTCAGTCATAGCTTGTCTGCTGCTTCCAACACTGACTGTGTGCGCGTGTGTGTCTGTGCACAAGTGTGAGTATTTCTGAGTGTTTATCCATATGTGCACGCTAATGTGCGTAAGTGCACATTGTGCCGATCGTTTGCATCATCTGCTGTGCTACCGGAGGAGGGAAATTCACTGTCGAGCTGACATAAGGCGACTGAGAAATGTGTGAGTTGTGTGTCTCATTGTGTGTGTGTGTTAGAAAAGTGAGAAGGATGTGTAGGAAGGGGGGACCAGGGATACGCTTACACATTAATCTGTTAGCAGGGAGGTAGGGGGCTGATGGTGCTTATTTATCTCATATAGGACAGCGAAGTGTGCGTGTCTGTCTGCACGCATGTGTGTGGATGGGGAGGGGGGTTGCTGTTATGTGATTATCTGTTAACTCAGTTACCTTGTAGCTGTAGATCACAGGAGCACTTGGCAGGGGAAAATGAAGGCGCCTCATCCTCTTTTAGGATTGGAAAGAAGAAGAAAAACTGCAGTAAAATCTTTGACTGTAGCTACTGAGGTATTCTTAGAAACACCTTCTTTTCTACTGCAGAGTCATGGAGGTACTTCCTACACCTTGGCAGGGTTCCCAAGAGGAACTATTTGGCTTAAATTAAAGGTGGTGTGAGGGCTGGTGGGAAGGAAATTGGATAAGACAAGACAAACGGATATGGGAATGATGCAGCTGGGAACTGCGTGCCGTGTTTGAATGTTAACCTTATCTTAGGTGTTTGATTCAATGCCAAATATTTTCTGTTCTCACCTTTCACAAAAATAAGCACAGGTTTAACAACTTGGAGGTTTTGATACCATGGTGATGTATGCTTGTTCCCATTACTTCTATGTGCAGAAATGTAAAAAAAAAAAAAAAATCCAAAACAGACAAGAAAAGCATTTCCATTTTGTCTAGTGAACATATTTATATGTTCAGAAATATTTCTGCTTATGCTGAAAATCAGTGGCCCCATCTAAAGAAACCAAGTCCAAGGAAATTGACTGACAGGCCATCTCTCTAAAGAAGCAACTCAGCAATGAACCTTGAAAGCTAAATAGAAAGACACAAAACCAAGAAGAATTTTAGATTACCACTCTAAAGGAAAGCACCAGAAGCGAAAACACAGCAGGTTTAGTGAAGCTGCTTCAGCTCTGTTATTTTCCCAGTGGGGCAAGGATAAGCTAAAGATTAGAGAAGCAAGCTTTTGACCTGAAGATGCTAGGTTCCATATTGCCTGCAGGCTTGGAGAGATCAGGAATCTATAAGATCCGTAACCCCTGATGGTAAGACTGTGGCTGCGACCACAGAGATGAATGCAGTGCAGGTGGAAATTGTACGATTTCCGAGTTTGTGTATACAGGGGGTAAATGTGTCGGCAAGAGAGATGCAGTTGGTAAACTATAATAGATGATTACTTAATATATGATTGCAAGGTGATGGAGTGGTTAGCACTATTGCCTCACAGTGAAAAGGTCCTGGGTTAAAATCTGGGTGCTTGTAAGTACCCCACCTCTTACCCCGGTCCCAGCTGGTTGCAGCAAATGGTTGCTCCTCCCTGAGCCTGATTCTGGTGGAGTTTTCTTAATGGTAAAAGGATGTTTTTCCTTCCTGGTGTCACCAAGTGCTTGCTCAGATGCGGTCGTGTGATTGTTAGGGTTTTATCTCTATTATTGTAAGGTCTTTACCGCACAGGATAACGTGCCTTGAGGCAACAGTTGGTGTAATTTGGCATATATAAATAACATTGAACTGAAAAGTATTTTTGAGGTTGGGCTGCTTTCACCAACAATGCCAAAGCCTAGCACTGAAAACTAAGGCTACTCAATTAGCCCTAATCTTCAATTAACCGGAAGGCAAAAAGCACAGTGACAATTATTTCATGATCTTGAGTATTTAACATCATTAATTATGAACTCACTGAATTTATTAAAAACGTAATAAATGAAAAATGTGGTGGCTGATTCAGTTCAATCTTTGACCAAAGTCTGCCTTGGTAGAGCCACCTATACCTGCTGATCTCTTCAGCAGGATGTCTGCAGATGCAGACAGGGGCAACAAGAGGCCAAGGAAGCAGCTGAC